ATTTAGAGTCTACCTTCACATCATACTCCATTAGGTAGTTAAAATTTTAATATTCTGTCTACTGTTCAGGGTATGATTTGACAGCTGTTAAATGAAGATAATAATGAACAATGATAATATTTAAATTATGCTATTAATATTTAGTATATCGGATAGGAAAGCCGGTGTATTTAAGTGCATAGATAGACAAAAGGGAGCAAATGTCAAATTGTTTTTTTCCTCTCCTACCTTTCATCCTGTCCATCTGGACCATTTGCCTGACTAGTTACAGAAGTCAGCAGTACACGTATCAAGGCATTCTTTTGAAAGCTGGGAAAATGGCTTGGCAAGCTTCATGTTACCTTCTGTTAAACAATTTTGTTTATTCTTAATTTATAATTTTTTTACTGCCTTCTAAGTGTTAGTGAGTGCTGGAGCTGATGAAAGGTCCTTTAGAGTTAGACTACTCTCTTTAGCCTTCTGTACTTCTTTTTAACTCTACCCCAGACATCAAGAAAGCCTATTTCTACACACTGCTGTGACTGCCTGTCTGCCCAGTTCCATTCTTTTTTCCTTCTTGTATTTTTGTTTTGCCTGAGTTAATCTCTGACTTGTTCCTCCATGTGTTACCATTCACATGCTCTCTTCCAACAATTTCTCTCAATGTCCACTTTTGTCTGATTCTGCCGTTTCTATTTCCAGTTTCCATTTGCCTTGCCTTTTGGTTTTGGATTTGTATGTATATTGCTCTCCCATTTTGAGGTATGTGTATCTATAACACTTAGACAAATATGAGACACATAAATAGTTAAGTCATTAGAAATACTCTGATTTTTGTAAGTGTCTTTCATGATAATGCTTGGTTAAGACAAGGTACCTCATGCTCTTTTTCTTTATACTTCTGTTGCCATAGTATTCCTGTGCTATGGCCACAAGTGACAGGTCACATACAGTCATTACTGTATGAATTGGTTGCTTTAAGAACAACACTTTCTCCATGGGATAATATATTCCACTGTGTATGTAAGCCGAAAATTTGAGTCATGTTGGGGTTTCTTTCTCCTTAAAGGTCTGAAGCTCTCGAACAGGTTTTTGGAGGTACAGAACTGTTTCTAGGATTGTTGAGAAAGACAAGTAAAGATCATTTTAAAATAATGGGTTCTTCAGAAGCTCAAGAGTTGTAAGTCATTGTGGTTGTTTTTTCCTCCTTTGAGACCAGTTTTCTGTTAAAACTCATAACACTATATATTATGTGTCTACACCCTTTTGAAGTTCAGGAAAATCTACAGCAGTAAAAGATATTACAAAAAGTCATCACATTAGTATTTACCTAACATGGTTTATAATAATGGCGTTCTATTTTATTTCAATGTTTTAATGTACTTAATATTACACAGAAAGTTTTAATATAATGGTTCAAACGTTTTTCATTAAAAAAAGAAATAAAAATATGAATAGTAACGTAATGCTAGGAAGTTCCACCCTGCGCTTTCCCTGAGAAACCTCTTAAGAGTCCTCCTGTTGTTATTTTATAAACCTTAGAAGCTCCGCTGCCATTATAACGGGGTATAGGAGTTCTTTTAAGTTATTTGTAGTATAAATAATCTACAGGTACTATCATAACTTTCAGAATTGATTCAGAAAAGTTTGTCATGAACTCTTTTGACTGATTTCTATACTAATCCTCAAATTGCTTTGTAAAACTTCATAAACGTTTGTTTTGTGTGACTACAATTCCCTGTACCTTAAAAACTAGAGAAAGAAGCAGTATAGCACTAATAACCTGGTTAGTAGTATTTTTATATTATACTTTATAGGCAATGCTTACATCAATATTGTCACAGAAGAATCTGGGATAGGGACTGCAATTTGGTTTATGTGTTTGGTTTTTGTTTTTTTTTTTTGTTTTTTTTTTTAAATTCCATTTCCCTCCTCCCAGAAATGAACTGTAAGTTTAAAATAATGCTTTGTAAACATCAGGATATGAAGGGGTTTTTGTGTGTTTGCTTGTTGGTTGGTGGGTTTTCCCCTGTTTTGTTGTTTCTCAGTTTTAACTTCTGGTAGAGAACAAAAAGTGGCATAATAGTGCTTTCCAGTATATAGGGAACATGCTATCATTCTGAAACTCTTATGTTAAAGGGAATGTAGAAATATTAACTCTTCATTATTATTGGTGTTTTGCATGGAAACAGTGTAAACATTTATTCTAATAATAGCAGATACAAAGAGGTACTTTGCTGACAGAAGAGCTTTCTGCAGGTTCAGTGTACAGGGGGCACTTCAGTGGAGTGACAATTGCTGGAGATGTGTTTACAGAAATATGACATTTAATAAAGAATCATAGAATAGTTAGGGTTGGAAAGGACCTTAAGATTATCTAGTTCCAACCCCCCTACCATGGGCAAACCATATCACCCAAGGCTCTGTCCAACCTGACCTTGAACACTGCCAGGGATGGAGCACTTACCACTTCTTTGGGCAACCCGTTCCAGTGCCTCACCACCCTCACAGTAAAGAACTTCTTCCGTACATCTAACCTGAACTTCCCCTATTTCAGTTTGAACCCATCACCCCTTGTCCTATCACTGCAGTCCCTAATTGAGAAACCCTCTCCAGCATCCTTGTAGGCATAGTCAATCTATTTGTACAATATCACCACAGTTTTTTCATTAGATTCATGCTCTTATAGTGTTACCATTAGTGATAATCAGTATCTGCTTGTAACTTCTTTATTCACATGTTTAGAGGTAAATATTATAACGTATTTATAAAATGGGTTTGTAGTACATTCTTTCTTCATTTCTGAGTGTCTGTATAGTGCTGAATTGTGTCTTACACTGAATTACTAAAGTACCACAAATAAGTCAGTGAACTACTGAAATACTGCACGTAATGCAGTAACTTTGCCACATAAACTGCATATTCTCTTCTCACCCATGTCAGCAATCTCATTCAGGTTAATTTAATTACTCCAGTGAGCAATGCCTTTTTTCATAAGTGAAGACTTGCAGGATTGGATTCTTATTTCATGTTGCTACTTTTGTATAATCATAAAGCCAGAAAATGCTTTACAGTTAAATCATGCTGACGTGGAAAGACACACCTTTGCAGATCTGTTTGGAATGTTCTTTATCTGTTACTTATTCCCAGTCAAAAGCAGGTTGCAGACTTTTAATGGAATAGCGACATTAATTGTTCCTAATGAGTTTCACTGCAAAGTCAAATGTTAAAATTACCCTGAAAATACTAGTGCTGAAAGGCAGTAACTAACAGGTGAGGATAATTACTGGCTTCAGTGATTTCTTCAACCACTGCAACTTGATCTGCAGGAGTAAATCAATCTGTGCTATGACAGGGAGAATAAAATCAGAAAAGACAGGCAAAGAATTACATTTTTACCTGCACAATGAAGAGAATGTGGATGAGTTAATACAAGTGGATTTGAAACAGATGCTAAACTGGTAGGAGCTAAAATTTCATTAACTAAAAATTGAATTTCTGGTGGAACTCTTGAGCATCTACCTTGCAGAAATGCTATTCTGGATCATCTGACATCCTGGAAGAGCAGAATCATTCAAAGATAAGGCAAGTTAGCATGTTCTATACATGGAGTTCAGTAATGTGGTTTTTCTCTAAAAGTTATCATCTGAAGGCTACAGGTACATAGATAGATGTATGTACCTCTAAGTCATCCTGATCTTTCTTTCTTGTCTGGTCTCTTCTCCCAAGTAACAAGTGATAGAACAAGAGGTAATGGCCTCAAGCTGTGCCAGAGGAGATTTAGTTTGAATATTAGGAAGAGTTTCTTTGCTGAAAGCATAGTCAGGCATCGGAACAGGCTGCCCAAGGCAGTGGTGGAATCACCGTCCCTGAAAGCGTTCAAAATCCGTGTAGATGAGGCCCTTGGCAACTTGACCTTAAAGGTCTATTCCAACCTAGCTGATTCTGTGATTCTTGAGGCTGTTAATAATCTTGAGAGGAAAATATACTGTGATTCAGAAACCAGGTTGAAAAGTACAGAATTTTCTTTAGCCCAGAACAAATGCATCTCTTAGTTTAAAGGTATCTCTGTGTCTCAGAGTACTTAACGGAAATTATAGCTGCATAGTCTACTTCTTCCTCCTCTCCCCCTCCCAATTGGAAGGAAGGAAATCTGTTTTGGAAATTAATGACAACTTTTCAAATAGAAATTGTCAATATGGTGGGCAGTGGGGGAACAAGGGCTATAAGCTTACCCTTCCTGCTGGGAAAAATCTTTCAGTTTTACAGCAAAGACTTTTGATGTTTTGTTGTTCTCCTTTTGTTCTGGAATTTGTGCACTTTAGACGCATAATCCGAATTTCAGTGAATCGAGCACTAGTATTTATGTTTACTTCTAAAGATCAAATGGCATCTTGTCATCTGAAAGAAAGGGACTGCTGGATTGGTGTCCCTCTGTTAGGTTTTCCACCCGTTGTTGACTGAAGTTCTCCAGACTCCATCTAGATAACTTTTTCTTGCCATTTTAAGTTCCTGTATTAAAAATAGCCAGATTTTTTTGCTGTTAACAAACATTACATAATTTTGTCAGTGCCAAACTTGGGTGAAAGTGTTTTTGGTTTCCTATCTCTAAGCAAGAGGTATAAAAAGATCGGGCTTTCAGCAGATGGTTGTTTGCAAACTTCTTACCTACTTTTTCCTTCGGAAACAAAAAATTGAGGACCATGTGGCAGATGGTGCAAAGGAAGAGGTTCTCTTAAGGAGCAAAGGAGAATGTCGTGCTGGAAATAAGGATTTTTGTATTTATTTGTTCATTCACTCTGATCCAGTTTTGAGATTCTTAGTAACTGGTTTTAAGTAAAAAATTGTGCAAGAAATTTTATACATTTTATGAATGATTGTTAAATTGAATATTACTTTACTAATAGGGTTTCAAACAGGTAGGGTTATTTGCCCTTGGGGAAGTACCCCTGTCATGTCTCCATCACTTGAACACAATATTCTGTAAATTTTAAAGAATTTTTCTTTCTTTTCCTTTTTCCAGCTGCTCTTGGTGTTCTACACGAATACTCATTAGTCATTCTGGAGATGGACTTGCTGTCTGGAACCTACCTCTTGGCAGTCTTATTAGCCTGTATTGTATTGCAATCTGGCGCACAGGAGAAGAATTATACCGTGCGGGAAGAACTGCCTGAAAATGTCCTCATTGGCAATTTGCTCAAGGATCTTAACCTAACGCTGGACCCAGATGTGCCCCTGTCCTCACCACTGCAGTTCAAGCTTGTGTATAAGACTGGGGATGTACCATTGGTACGGGTGGAGGAGAACACCGGTGAGATTTTCACAGCTGCGAACCGCATAGACCGAGAGAAGCTGTGCTCTGGCATCTTTAGTGAGAATCGCTGCTTTTATGAGGTGGAGGTTGCTGTTTTGCCTGATGAAGTCTTCAGACTGGTCAAGATCAGATTCCTAATAGAGGATATAAATGACAATGCCCCTCTCTTTCACGCTCACAAATTAAGACACTATTAACATCTCTATCCCTGAAAACACAGCAATTAATTCTCGCTATTCTGTCCCATCTGCCATCGATCCTGACATTGGTGTGAATGGTATTCAACATTATGAATTACTTAAGGTGGGTTTCTTCCATTCTTCTGTGTTACTTTCTGCATTACTGCCTTCCCACAAATGTTGCAAGTCTCATCAGCCATTAGAAACACAAAGCTGTGTGCCACAGTAGTGGTACGCTGCAGATACCAGTCTCAAAGTGTTAACCTATACCCTTGAGTCCGTTCTAGTGCATCATATCTTCACTTAATGGAAAGCTGTTTGTGTGTGTCTGTCCGTGTAATGGTATCATGAAACATGCATGTCTTCATCAGCTCTCCACCAGCATTCAGAGTGTTTGTGAGCTTGGGCTAACAGTCATCTTAGACCATTAAAAATGTGTTCTTATTGCCACAACATGGCAGTGGCAAGTGTGGCAATGTTTTGCATTGGGTTTGTGTTTCCCTCTTCCATGACTTCTAGATTTGAGCAGTAAAACTTATTGAAAAAGCTTATGAGATGTGATGCTTATCTGTATAGTGATGAGCCATTCCAGAATGAAAAAGAGACCATGTGTCTAAGCAGCTTCGTAATGTTTGGGCAGGCAAAATATCTGGTCTGGAGAAAGTCCAAGATATCCGTGAATGCAAGGATAGCAGTGCCAGTGGCCTTACAAGAGCAGATCTTTTATATTCTTGTTTCTTTTGCTCTTCCTAGCAAATAACAGGAGAACTTCAATTAGGGAACAAAAGAGTAATGTGTGAACCTGAGGTGTGTAAGAGTGTGTGATTAAGATTACTTTCTTTTGAGTTTACTTAAGTAGAGAGTTTGGAACAAGAAAGGAACTTAGCCTCAAAGTGTTGGGTTATTACGTGGGAAGCTGAAGTCTTCACTTCCCTTGGTTTTAAATGGGGAACTACTGGGTAGTTCGGCTGCTCAGCTACCAATCTGACACCCTTGTTACAGACTGGAAGAATATAGACTCTATAGGACAATATATTGCTTGATTGACTTGACAGCTATTATTCACTGATACCAGTACTTACTAGCAATCTAATAAAAATAAAACACTGCCTTTTTTTAGCTCTTTCAAATTGCCTGCAACCTGAAGTAGTTGTGACAATGTGGGTTCTAACTAGTGACAAAGACATAAAAGTCTCTTTCATTAAACTGCATCCCACGGGACAGTTCTGGTTAGCTATCAAAAAAAAAAAAAAAAAAATCCCCACGTACATAAGTCTGCTCTCAGGGTAGTCGAGGAATTGAAAATTTTCAAGAACTTAGTGTAAGTTTTGAGGGCTTTCTAGTAAGATCTTTAATACTTCTAAATTTCTAGAGTACGCTTAGTGCAGATAGATCTACATGTGTGTTGTGGTGGTTTGTTTTGGTTTTTGTTAGGTAGCTAACCCCAAGCTTCCAGTAGGAGGTAGTCTCCCTTATTCAGCAATTAATTGAGAATCTGGGAATGAATAACATCATATTAGATAATAGTAGGAGCAGAAAATAATAAAAAGGCTAGTACTACAGGGAAAATCTGGCAAAATAATACATGGTCTGAATAGAGATATGTTAGTTAATATGTGAGAGAAATGTGCTGCTATTCTAGGTAAAGATAAAATATAAACCAGCAAAATCAGGAGTTCCTGGGATTGAGTGAGCAACAGTTCAGATCACCACAATATCAGTGAGTTTATTTTTGGACTGTGTGTTCAGAAACAGAATGTAACAGATCAGCAGAATGATAGCATATTTGTATTGCACAAGTGGGAGCACATGTAAAATGCAAGCTACAGCTCTGTACCACAAGTGGTGTAGGGTGTAAGGCCTTGGCTGAGGATCTCATGTGAGATGAGATGGTCTGCCAGAGCAGCAGCTTTCATCAAGAGATGTGCAAATAACTTCAAAATTGGTATTTGAATTAGGGGAAAAGAAGAAAATAAGAAAAAGTTACATGTTTAGTCAAGTGTTTTTGAAAAACTGCTTTTGCTGTGTAAGGGAAGGAAAGGTGATGAGAATGAACATGCTCTGGTATGACTGAAAGTTCTGAGTTCTTGTAGATGTGCTGCAACCAAAATAACATGTAAAGTCACAGCCCTATAGACAGTTCTTCTAAATGAATTAATCATATTTTTCTCTTGCATGCCTGTTAGTCAGGTACTTTTTGAGTTATGGATTCACTGCCTGTAAATAAGCCAGCAATTTCACATGCCTTGGAAAGTATCTGTAAAACCAAGAAGCGGTTTATGACAGCCAGACACTGTTCGGAATCATAATGTCCAGTTGTTATTCCATTGGTAGCTTTTACAATGTTAATACCAAAAGCGATCATACAAGGAAAGGGAGAGAGAAGCTGTAAATTCTGGTGAGCAGGCAGGGAATGTAGCATATATGAAGATCCATCCATCACTGGGGAAGGATGGGGAGATTAAAAAGGAAGCAAAGAGTGGTGCTGCCTGAGAATTCTTTCCTGGGTAATAATGAAACAACTAAGAAGAAGGGTGACAGGCACATAAGGATTGCATTGCTTGTCTTTTCTCCCGAAATGCTGCTCTTGTGCATTATCCTATGCTATTTTTTAGGGTATGCTCTGAAGACACTAATGTCTTCTGGCTTCGAATACGTGTTGACCTTTTCCTTCCTTTTACAACCAGCAGATAGAAAAGTGGGGAAACTGCAGCACATTAAACTATTAAGCTTTCCCAACAGGGTGAGTCTAGCAGGGCTGATATGACAGTGTTGTGGGGAACTTTGGGAAGCACCAGATAAGAAAATGATGGGCAAGGCAGCATCCTTGAAGCATGGCAGAGTGGGAGATGGGATATGCAAGTCACTTTGTAGAAGCACAAAGGCTGATGCTTTAGCATGTGAGCAGCAACAGAGGAAAATGTGTTGCTCTATATTTTAGAGACAGTAATAGCAAATTGAGAAGCTGTGCAATGAAGAGAGAGTTCTTCACTTAGCAAGACTTTTTTTTTTTTTTAATAAAGTGAAATATAGAATGTGCTTATTGTCTGTGTGGAGCCAGACCTATTTTGTCAGAAGATGAAGAGAATTTGTTTTGCTGTAACAATTTCTAAAAAGGAATAAACTCACTACAAACTCAGCTGAATACTTTGTAGGTTTTTAACACGCTTTCAGCAACTCTGTATCTCATTGGGAAGGTAATGTTGATGTGTTTACAATGTTTCCTTGCTTTGTTACACTTACTTTACTGCCTCTCTCAAAGTATTGGAAAAGGTTGCATACAATTGTTGTGTTCAGTTTCTGTTGCAAAGTCGATAATGATAAAGCCTTAGCTACACAACAGACTTCCATATTGCTTTAATCCCCTGCCTCTTTCTAAAAATCTTTTTTAAAAAGAAAAAAAAAACCAAAGCAAAACATCATAAAAAAGGTACTTTGTGTTTTGGGTTCAGTATTACTTGGAAGTTTTGTAACACCAGATTTGATTTTTATTTATTTTTTTTTGTTTTGTTTTACTGAAAGAGCACTTTTCATGACCACACAAGTCAGCATCCAGGTATTTTTTGTCTGCCTTCATTTTCTCAAAATGTACCTCAGTAGAAAGTAAATTCTTTATCTGTAACTGGTTCATGGTACTGCAACTTCAAAACCTTCCAGTTGTCTGTGATTCAACCATACACTGAAATGCGTGACCTCTAACAAGGCAACAGTTTTATCTAACATCTGCATTTCTTCTTGTAAGACTTAGTTACAAGCTATGTGGAGGATAATTTCTAAGATGTGTTCTAAGGAAAGCAGTGTTTTCATATGTATCTACAAATACTAATGTTCTGCTTTAACCCTGCTAAGTAGCTAAGCTCACAGGTCTTCATTCACCTCTTCAGGGTGTTCATGTTGCTTACATACTGATGTAAAATGGACACTGTGTCTGGCAATACCACCACAGTGTTAAAAATACTGTTGTTAATTATGCTATTTCAGTACACTTACATCTTACTTCAAGGCAAGCTAATATTTAGTATAACTTCATGAATGCACTTAGAATTTACATGTCTCTTAGGCCCCTGCTTTGACTATGAAGATCTCAGTGTGAAGCATCTCTTTGGTCTCCTAGATATGAAAAGGAGGAGCTGTCTCAGTGCAGGTTTTGAATAGAATTCCAGCTCAGAGCACTGTAATGGGAAGTCACATGCATACTTCCAAAAGATTTCATGTAAATTCTTTTTATTGATTACTTAGAGTTGCTTGTCAACTAGGTATACCATATACACAAGGTGTTGCATAGGTGCAACAGTACCCAATTAGCAGTGGACTTGAGCAAAAGCATAACTTTGTGCTTACAGGAGTGGAGCAGTTTCTTCTGTGAGCTTATCCCGTGTACTCCTAGGTTATTGCTTTACTCTGTTGCAGTTTGGGGGGAAATTAGATTGGTGTTACTGTTATAGTTCTATTACCTATTACAGCAATTTTCCTGTATTTACTTATCAGAAGCAGTTGGTGCATTCCTTCTAGAATAATATAATAATCCTTTTGTAGCTGTCAGTTCACACTTCTGTAATCTGACAAAATAGATTCTTACTCAGTCTCACAACACATCAGTCTTGCTGCTGAGGAGAGTTACTTCTTGCTACTATAGATCATTGCTTGTGGTGTCTTTCAATAGAAGCTTTCCCCTTCTTTCTGGTACAGTCTATCAATTCCATGACCCATGGAAGATGGAGATCACAAGTCATCATATTTCAACCCTGCTTCTGCAAATAGTTTATTTCTGAGCCTCAGAGTAGTTCTGGATCAAGTAACTAATAGAAATGTTCATGAAAATCAAGTATGGAAGGGAATATGTTTTATGTAAAATGAAAGCTAGGAAGGTAGTTAAATAAAAATTATAGAGTGAGACTAGTTTTGTAGTTAAATAGGAACCAGAAGTCAGAATAGTGAAATCGTTGCTGATAATAAGACTGTAAACAATGGTACAAGCATGATAGTCGAAACCACTAACAATGGAGGACAACAAAGTTGTTTGTGTTTGTGTGGCCTATTTGTGTTTTAGTGTTGCACCAAAACTGAGTGGTCCAGTACATAGAAAGGAAGAAAGCATGGTTAATGTCTGTGCAGGCTCAGCGG